CCTGGAGGTGTTCAAGGTCAGGCTGGACGGGGCTTTGGGCAACCTGGTCTAGTGGCAGATGTCCCTGCCCCTGGCCGGGGGGTTGGACTGGATGATCTTTGAAGGTCCCTTCCAACCCAAACCACTCTGTGAGTCCATGGTCCTATGAGATGTGAGGGCAGGTCTCCCCTGGATTAGTAACTGCACAAATGGTCGGGTTTCGTACCAGCGAGTGTCTCAGGGTGATCCCCAGCAACGGTGCTGGAACTGGTCCTCTCACCGTATTTTAAATGAGACGGAAAAAGAGCGAGCAGTGAAGTGCCGTGGCCTCTAGTATGTGATCATTTAGGGTAGTTGAAATGAAAACTGGCCGCTGAGAGCAGGGGGAGGATGTCACGGCACCGAGGGACAGCTCGATTCAAGGTCACAAACTGCAAACCAGTGCCCATGGGAAAAACACCAGGCACAGATGTCAGCAGATAGCAGGGCTGTCCGTGGGCTCTGACCACCCAGGGCAGAGACCTTGGGGCGGGTATCGACAGCGCCGAGATACCGACTGGGATGCCGGGGTGGCTGGAAGGAAGGGGAGCCACGAGTGGCGCAGCCGGGCACTGCTGCTCCTCCCCAGAATTGGAAATCCTGAAGAGAGGTAGCCCTGCTCCTGCGGGAGATGCTCCTGCAGGGAGCTGAAGGTGATGGTGCAGACGTGGCCTCCAGGCAGGAAGCCCCCAACCCCGCTGATGGCCGGGGCTGTACTGGGAGCAATGGTGATGCTTCTGTCCCTTCAAGCTTTGGCCGCGGTGAGGACAGCACAGAGAGGTGGCTGTGTCTCGGTGCAACCCAGTACTGCGGTTCATGGTTTCGTAGACTCACAGAGTGGTTTGGGTTGGAAGGGGCCTTTGGAGATCATCTAGTCCAACCCCGCTGCCATGGGCAGGGACATCTTCCGCTAGATCAGGTTGCTCAAGTTTCAGGTCCTTCTCTCTGCTCATCAAGTCCTGGGTTTATGGGACAGAGCCTCCAGCAGTCAGTTTTTGCCAGGGGTGGGAGGCTGGCGACGGGGTCTTCGCAGGACCTGCCGTGGGTTTGGTGGCAGCACCCACCACCGCCCCCTCCAGCACAGCGCAGCAGCCCGGTGACACCCTCCTGGAGCCAGGCGAGGGGTTGGAGCTACCCGCATTTGGGGTGGGGTATCTGGGTTGGGCAAGAGCCGTCCCTAACCTTTCCCTGCCCCTCGCAGGCTGAAGGACCTCTTCTACCGCTCCAGCAACCTGCAGTACTTCAAGCGGCTGATTCAGATCCCGCAGCTGCCGGAGGTGAGACCCCGTGGTCCCCCGTCCCCGTGCTCGCTGTCCCCATGGCCAGGAGCAGCAAAGGGGCCGGTGGCGCTGTGAAAGTGCCCAAAAAGGGTCGCCTGCCGCCTTGCCTGGCTTCCCGGGGCCGGTGGCAATGTGAGGCTTGTGGGGCCTGAGGCTCATCTTTGCACCCCTCCCTGGGTGGGATCCTGCGGGGTGGAGCTGCCCCTCCGGCCGGGGGGCTGGGGTCCCCTCTCGCACCGACACCCAGCCCTTGCCGGGATCCATCCTCGTGGGTCCTGGCTCCATCTCTGTGGGTCCTGGCTCCATTCCCGCGGGTCCGGGCATGGCCAGCTCAGCGCTGGGGCGGGATTCCAACCAACCATGCCCGAAGCCCTGCGGCAGTGCCAGTCCTCCCCCACCCAGCCACGCTCCCCTCCCTCCCCAGAACCCTCCCAATTTCCTGCGTGCCTCGGCGCTGTCGGAGCACATCAGCCCCGTGGTGGTGATCCCTGCCGAGGCATCCTCACCCGACAGCGAGCCCATCACAGACCTGGTGGAGATGGACACGGCCTCGCAGGTGAGCCGCAGCAGTGCTGCCCATGCTCCTCGGGCTGCGGAGAGGACGGTGGGCGCCCTTTGGCTCCAAAACCAGGGTTTTTTCTCCAAAACCATGCCATGGTGGGGGCTGAGACAGTGGGGATGGCCTCAGGCACTGGGGAGGCCGTGTGGGTGCTGGGTGTCACATGTGGGTGCTGCTAGGTCTGAGCCAGGCTGAATTCATCTCGCGGTGCTTCTCTCGGTGGTTTGGTGCCCTCCAGTGATGGCCGGCTAGAGATGTTTGGCTTCCCAGCATCGCCCCTCGCCTCTCCGTGCTTGCATTAGGTCTTCACCCCCCTCACCACCAAGGGTTGTCCCCAGGCGCTGAGCGTTTTGGGAGGGGAAGGGGCGTGGGGGACATGGAGGGGACGAGGGCTCCCAGGTGGTGGTGGGTTCAGTCCGGGTCCATGCTGCTCTCCCCACAGAGCCTGTTTGACAATAAGTTTGACGACATCTTCGGCAGCTCTTTCAGCAGCGACCCCTTCAACTTCAACAGCCAGAACGGGATGAACAAGGATGACAAGTGAGCAGTCCCGGTGATGCCGCGGAGGCGGCCATGATGGGATGGGAGCTCCCTCCCCGGCCTGGCACCGCAGCCGCCTGCCAGGCTGCTGCAGCAGGGCAGCCACGGTGGCACAGGGGACACCTCCCCTCCCAGGATGTGTCCCCACGGCACCGGCGCGGCTGGTGGCACTGAGGATGTGCTTGGTGTCTCTCCTTCCCAGGGACCGCTTAATTGAGCAGCTTTACGGGGAGATCGCAGCCCTGAAGGAGGAGCTGGAGAACTTCAAGGCTGAGGTGGGTGACAACCATCCGGTGGTGTCACGCAGTGAGCACCCATGTGGCAGTCCAGGGGCAGGATGAGACCCGGCGGCTCACACTGGGAGTGGGGCTGGTGGGGTGGTGGCTGTGTCCCCGGGTGGGCAAGGTGGTGACCCTGTTTTTCTGTCCTTGCCCTGTCCCCGATGGCTTCTGCATCCCTGCTGCAGCCATCCCTGCCCATAACAGGGGGTCCCCAGGTGTGCCAGGGCGGGGGGCTGTGTCCCT